AGCCCTGGTTTATCTCGTTCGATGTAAGGAAATAAAACTTTCCTCAAAATGGCAGTGGCAGAGATTCCAGTCCGAAAATTAACTTCGTTAACGGACTTGGGTGTGTAGATTCCACTTTAAGTGAACCCAAATCTGCATTGCACGAAGGCGGCGAAGTCGGCTATTGCAACTCAACAGGGTTTGACAACGATTGTTTCTCTGAAATCTTTGGAAAATCCATACGGGCGCTTCCAGATCACCCTATACAGGTATGCAGAATTTGGACGGTCTAGGCTAATACTGTTTTAGAGAGCGCAAAAAAGAGTGAATGTCTGTTTATGCTGCCGTAGGCAAACAGATAGTCGGCCCCTAACCACTTTCATTTTGCCTGTAGGCAGTTAAGAGGGGATGTTATACTAACTATCTGTGGCATGCATGGCCTAGACCAGGGCTCGGGAACATATGGCTCACGAGACAGCTGTTGCTCTTTTAATGATTGAATCTGGCTCTCTCAGATAAAATTGGAATTAAAGTCTTCAGATTTTGTGATTTTGGCTCATTAAATGACGTGCCACATTTGATTGAATTCAATCTTCAAATATAGTATGTGGCTCTCACTGAAATATATTTCCAAATATTTTCTTCGTTGGCGCTCTGAGTCAAAAACGATCCCGACCTCTAGCCTAGACTGTTGCTTTATCCCAACCAGTGTTTTCCCCGAGTGAATAATTCTTCTTTGCGCGGTCATTCACTTACTCAACGAACAGAGAAAGCTAGCATCGATGAACGAATGTTCTTGTTCACTAACTGTGGTCGCCGCGTGGAACGCCTTGCTCGCGGAAGTTTTCCTCTCCTCAAACATAATTTAAGGCCAAACTCGACACGCATCAAGCTATTTTTCTTACCAGCAGCACACATACCTATTTTATCCAAGGACGTTCTATCGCAATAACACATGATCATACTACATTCAATCATTGAGTTCCATATGGTACTCGTTCTGTACGCGTGTGGAAATTTATTTGCTTGTCACGTGAAATCATGCAGACAATTCCTTTTTCACTGTTCTCTATCTATACAACCGTTTTGCAATCGAAACAATAATTCAACGGCATTCGGCTTACCTCTCCTTGACAAAAGTTACATAAAGTACATAACTTTCAAAGTTAGCCGATCTAGTTCACCAGTACATTCTGTGTAGACAACTGATAGCCCAGTCTTGGCAAGACAATCTTGCATACGTCGGTCTCAGTTCGTCCATTTATATTTTCGTTGTAGTGTGGGCAATCTAACGTGAGACCTCTATTAGTAGCCAACGAATTATACGCCTACTGCTGGCCACACTCATCCTCCAAAACCGGCTTTACCATCATTGGGCTGAACCGAAATGAGGACCAGATCATCTGGTTGTGAGAGCTACTTAAGCAACGATAACTGATGTGTCTATTCACTGAAATGCAAACTGGCGTTGAACGCATTCGTGGCAGACTTTGCCGGGGAGGAACCCTCAGCTTATTTGTCATTTTCTGACAGTCGCTGGCTTTGGGAACCAGTCTGCACAAAACCAGCCTACCAGGATTCATATTTGCACGCAAGATTCTGGCTGCAAGTGTGCTGGCTACAATCAAAACATCCCTAGAAGGCGGTAAACATTTCTGAGGCACAAGGCTGAAGATTTAAGGGTGATAAGTCAACAAAACCCAACTAAAGGGTGGCAAGCATAGAATTGCAGTTCAGTTTTATGAAAGGAAAGATAGGCAAACACTTTCGAGTACCCTGATGGCTAAGAAAAGTATAAATCCAGCACAATAATGCAAAAAATAGGTCGTCTACGTAATTGCAAACGAAAAGCGAGGAGAAGTCGGTTTATTGAAAATAGTAAACATACACGACTACTGCAATGACTAGTGCAATGACATACGTAGGATTATCCAGGAAGTACTACTTTGCATTTTTGCAGCTGCCAAATGATACGAGCCAGTAGGTAGAACGAAAGCAAAAAGAGTAGACAGTGAAAAAATCTCCTTGGTGACTGGAAAATGGTAATTGTGTTTTCTTTCACTTAGACCTCGGCACCAACAACTGAGGAAGATGGCAAGCAGTTCTACCTGGCGAAATTGGCAAAGGAGGTGAGAGCCAATGTTAGCCGAGCCGGTCGGCCGGCTCACGACGACAGTTCCGTGAAGTTGCTGCAGGCCCTACTGCACCAGCCCAAGACCCAGGATCTGGCGTCTCCAGTCGTGAACAGTGGTAACAAACAGAACGCAGCAGCAGCGGACGCGCAGGGCATGGAGAGTGCAGATAGTACGGC